TCGTTGGCACTTGTGTTGCCAAAAATTCATGGTACTGGACTCCTGGAACCAGGCGCAGCGGCAGGGCTCGTCACATTTTAGCGTCTAGATGACGATCTCTGGTTCTGGCGCCCATGAACCATAAGAGTTCATGCATGGCCCTGCCGCATCTCGTCGATAAAAACCTCTCCGATCCATGCGATTAACTGGGTAGTTGTGCCAACGCCCGGTTTGTAGGCTGCTCTGCATGGATATCCCTAGCCCAGTGGAAACAGAAAAGAGAAAAAGTGCATCAAGACGGACGAATAAATGGAGAATGAGCATAAATAACAGATGAATCAACATGTACATCTGGACAGACTCGGTTTCCCGTTCCTTGGCCGTCGCCTGGTTTGTCTAGGCCATCTCGTACAACCGGGCCCCGTGGTAGATGCTTGACTGGCATTAAGCCATTCTCTTAGGCTCCTTGTCCTCGCTCTATTGTATGTACTATTCTAGGTTGCGAAAATCACGTCATTCCTGTCCTTGCTAGAGCAGCTTCATCCTATTCCGACATGTCTCATCGTATACGTATACTATCCCCAGCCGCCATCATCAAATCGCCAGCGTGTACTTCGCCTCATCCACGTGCCGGCTGCACAAAACTATTGATTAATAGAAGGGGTGGCTAAGCCAGCACCGAGTCCACCAGACTCGATCCCGGTTCAATGTTGGTTTTCCCTACCTTTGCTGGTGCCCGGGGATCCCAGCGTAGGTCTTGGTCAATCAGATGCGTTCGCCCTACAATCGGAACCAAACCGCATTACCTTGGCGCGCACTTGCAGAAAGGAGTGACGATGCCTATTTTCCCAACCAGGTTAACATGCCCGCAATACATACCTGTTCGCCGCCCCGCCCCCGTACAGGCAGAGACAGGAACTTGGGTCTCTAATCAATCTGTGCTTGGTTGGTAGGCCATCTGTAACCTCGCGAAATTGGGCCCCAATTAACTTGTAGCCCTGCAATTTATGCCATGAACCGTCGTCACTGTTGCGGGTCTGCAAAGGTACTCCCTAGACATGAGGCAATAGCCATCTCGAGTACAACTAACACCGAGGTCATCACAAATAAACCATCTAGACTCTAAAACAGCAACAGGCAAAAGATGTTTCGCCGAATTAGCTACTGAGCTAACGCGCTCTACACTATTGCCAACTACTATTTTATGGCCAGACCCCTTTTTATCCTCATCTACCCTGTGCGAGGAGCTACCCTGTACACCTCCCGGCGGCGTCTTGTGTAACAAGTCTATATTACCATGTGAGGCACGCTTTCTCCGAGCTTTACTCTGGAATGCTCCCATCTCTACGATAAAGTTGCCAGCGCAAATAAGTGCCTACGTAGCTCCATTGCTGACATACGAGACATGGAAGGTTGTATTTCGGTGAGCACATAAAGTCTGTACGTGGCCTTGAATCGCACTGCAGCAGCTACCTGGCACGCAGTATGCAGAATTATAAAAGCATCATCTATAATACACTTTTTCTAGTTAATAGAGAAGAACAATCGGCTTGATTTGACCTCTTAAAAAAGTACGTGTTTCGCTGTGCCATTATCCCACCGTATTTCTGACAGAATGACGGTATGACAAGGGCAGAGTAACTGGGCTTGGAACCAAGTGTTCTATTGAGACTATGATAATCGACTTTAAGATAGTAAGGGTCCTTCATTTTCCACGAGGCCTCAAGGGACAGAAACCTCCTATAAATCCAAGAAAATAGTGAGCACTTGAGGGCTTGTGTCTGGGGCAGCCCTCGCTTAGGACCGCCTTGTGGCCTTGTGGCCTTTGCCTTTGCTGTTGTGTAACCTTTGTTGCCCCAACGCCCTTTGTGGTAAGCCTACCTTTTAGCCGACGGTGTCTTTATCAAGCGTTGGGATATTTGTTTCCATGTTTGCATCGTCGTTGACACGAACCCCACGATCGGTAGTACCTTGTCCCTCTGGCAGCGTTGCGACTCGTGAGTAGATATTTAGCTATTCAGTAACCTGCATGTGTCTAGTCGGTTGCTTTTCTACTGCGCTGTTTCCAATCACCCCCGGCAAAGATACGTGGCTGCATGAGTCCTGGAGTGGTAGTCATCGCTACAGCATCCAGTCCCATTCTTGAGCCATGACTCTCTGTCTGCCGTTCAACGCCAACCAACAAATTGGCCATGTAGGCACATGATCAAGACTCGATGTCAACGGGTGAAATACAGTGCATCTACAACTAAGAGGTAAGGTTTACTATAACAGGCACTAGTGGAACTCCCTTTTTCTTGTGCGGTTGAACCGTGACACTCGACCTTGTCAAATTTGTTCCTCTTGCCCCCTTTTCAGCTTCCTCAAGAGCCGACCTGATCTTGCCAACAATCTCACCAGCATCCTCGAGCCCCACGCTGATCCGGATGACATGCCGCGGCAGGCCGTACTCTTCGCACTTGTCCTGGTCCCAGTAGCACGCCAGCTGGACATAGGGAATGACAAGGGTGAAGTTGGTGCCAAAGCTGGACCCCTTGCAGACGTCCAGATTGTCATAGAAGCCCCGCGCCGTCTTGGGGTCACGCATCACGACACCGAGGACGTTTCCGTAGCCACCCTCTCGGCGCATATGTTCCGTATACCACCGGGACGTTGGCCCGAGAGACGGATGGTCGACTTGCTTCACAGAGGGATGCTGCTGCAGGAACTCGACCACGGGGACGGCGTTGGCGTTGCTCTTCCGTACCCGGGCGGCCATGTTGGCGGAATTCCGCTTGAGCGCGGCCACGTCACTCGGGAAGCAGTACACGCTCTCGTGCTGAATGGCCAGCTGGCTTTGGATCCTCGTGTAATGCCGCGAGTTGGGGTTCACCACGACGCTAGACGGTGTAGACTGATGTTAGCGTTTGCATACATGCACAGCGTTGTTGACGGCAAGGGCGTGTCAAACCTGCCGCCTGTTACATCTGAAGTCCCGCTAAACATCTTGGTCAGGCTGCTCAAGACTACGTCCACGAAAGGCAGAATGTCGAGATTGACAAAGTTGCCCGCGGTCTCGTCGCATGCCACGATGAAGTTGTACTTGTCGGCCAGGTGCCGGATCCGCTCGAGATTCGGCGAGATGAACTTGATATTGCTTGGAATCTCGCAGAAGAGCGCGGTGACATGGTGGCCGGGATTCTTGAGCATATGCTCAAGCTCATCCAGCTCCTCGTCAGTGCCCCATTTGAAGGAGATGGCTCTGTTCCAAGGAGACCTCCGCAGCACATGTACCGTCTCGGGATAGAGCCAACTGTAACAAGGCATGTTAGGCGATTCTCCCGTCCTTTGGGAGGAGGGTTCTCACCCGTAGGCAACGACGTCCGAGTTGGGAGCGAGAGCCGCCAGTGCTTCAGACGCGGAGAAGATGGCATTCATGCCCGTCGGGAAAAGCAGCACGTCTTCTGCGCTCACCTGCTTGATGCCGGGGCGCTCCGAAGTAATTAGATGCGCAATATAAGCTTGTACCTGTAACAGGTCGTCCGGCGCAGATAGACGCCACTGATTCAACGTTGGGCTTTCGCGATGTCTCTGGAGGGGGGCGAGTGTTTGAAACGACGGGCATGTGGAATCAGACGCGAGAAAATCCAGACTCTCCAAGCAAAACTCGGCGTGGCGGGTTGTGATTCCCGCGCCCGTGTCCATCCAAGCCAGCATCGACTCTTTAGTCAGGTCAGTTGGGAACACTACCACGGAGAAATCAGTCCATGTATTCTCCTCCTCATGGATACGTGCTTCAAAAGGCAAGAAAAACCGAATGGTGTAAATGTCAGGAATGGCGTCTGCGCACGACGTCTTGAGGGCAGCTTTCAGTGCGCCAGCACAGTAGTTTGCCATTCGAATCGAGGGAAAGACCATGCTGGAAATTGTATCGCCATGGATATGCAGCCGTTCGCGCACTCGGTGGATGAGATTCTGGATCGGCTTGCCAATGAAGAATCTTGGTTTGTCATCGTGCAACGTTAGTGGCATTCTGTTCAATTCAACTCCATCTCATCGTACCTAGGATAACTGTACTCGACCTTCTCCCTGGCCCCCTTTTCTCCGCGGGACCATGCAATGACGGAGTCCCATGTCGGCAGCGAGGAGCTTATGGCCTACGTGGAATAAGCTTCAGGATGCTACAACACTGGGAACATCAAGGACTTACATGAGGCGTTGTTGGGGGCTGTATATGGCCCTGCCCTACCGGTAGGGCTCGTGGTACTTTGTGATGAACCCAGTTCTCCCGAGAGTGCTCTTCGGAACTGCTCATATTGTCGAAAACGAAAACGAAGGCGAGTGTCGAGATGAGCTTGGATCAAGGTCGACCTCGGTGGCACTGGTGCAGCACTGATGGGTCAATGGGACAATTATAGAACATGGCAGTAGTCAATGGACACAACTTGAAGCATCCGGTTTCGAACTGTGGACTCGACGGACTTGACGTTTTGCATGACCATGTTCTATTCTTTCTAACAAGGGCAGGTGGATATTGCTTGTCGTACCGAGGACGGAGTATTATGTGCGTGTCTCACATATAGTCTGCGTTGCCACGTCAATACCGTCGGTCGAGCAAACATGTTGGGTTCTGCTGCCCAGTCACGGCCAGTATACATGAGACAATTCGACGCTCCTGGAGTATTGCAGGCCTGCTGTACTCTGTAGGTTGAGCCCTGCTCCAGCATCAAGGTGTAAAGGACCCGTGGGCAATTACCTACCAGACATATGTAAGGCTACCCCGTTGGTACCCGATGTATGTACACCTTATCCAGTATTGACCGGTATAAACTGGACTCGTGTACGATATGCTTCGTCAACCCCCCCGCCGGATCACCAGTACGTGACCTGTCACCGAGACAACTGTGACGCAAACATGCTCGACTCCCTGGAGGCTTGTTTTCTCATGTCGTTGATCCGCCCCTTTTCCTCCGTACGCCTGTTCAACATCCCCCCAACACGGCAACAACTGGATTCGGTCTGGCTCAGCCCAAGAAAAGACCATGTCTGCTTCCAACTACGCAGCTAGGGCTAGAGGCGAGACGACTAAACGTCTACTTGCGCAGCTGGTCAACGAAGGATTGGCAAGCTTGGATTTTCTTGACGAATCTCACGACTCTGCCACGCGTCGACCGCGCATCACCGGACAGAGGGAGGGGAATGCAGACCGCTGGCTCACTCTTTCTGCAGTGCATGGTGTTATCACGACAGGCCATCTGCGTCCCAATGACCTTGAGCTTCCTGTCACACTCTGCTCCGGCAATAATGAGGCTCTCCAAGACGATCCAGGTGCCATCTTTGAGTTTATCTCGGTGTGGCTTGACTGTAGTGAGGCCATGACGACATCAGTTGTGCAAGAGCTGCGCAATTCTGCAGCCATGCTAGGTGAGCACACGACAACGCCTTGCCTCAACATCCAGGACCATGTTATATTGACTGCCTTCGCAGAGAAATGGATGGAGCATGGCTGGCAGACGCCCACCCTTGACCTGGACTCCTCATTCTTGGATTGGGAGAGGTCTGTGGTGGCGGGCCACCCAACACATCCGGTAGGCTTGACAAGTTTCTGTCCACACGGCAATGTTGCTAAATGTGTCTAAGTTCCATCGAACATGTATTGCCAACCGCTTGTTGAAGCCGGTTGGACCGGAACATCTCCCCGGCATGCTGAATCCAGATATTTCGTTCGTCACTGTCCCCCGCACATCAGTCCGCACAGCAGGACCCTTTGAGAAACTCATTGAATCCATGATGAAGCATTTCGGAATCTCCGTGGCCAGCTCCCAAGGAAACACCACAGTTCCCTGTCTAACGCAGCATCTCCCAGCTTTGCTGCATCATTTCCCCGAGGCCGAGTTAATCGAGACAGTACCCAATGGTGCCGTGGCCCAGGCGGCCATGCGAACGGTTTCTATCCCGGGTTTTGCGTACGACGTCAAGTTTTCACTGGCATGCCTCGTTACGTCCGCACTGCGCGTCCTTCCGTGCTGGTCTGCAGATGCAGCGCCCAAGTTGACCTGGCTTCTCAAGGAGATATCCCCGCCAAACCTGTGGATAGTTGGCGAGGTTGCCGCCGTGACTGGCAATCAGCAAGACATGGCCGAGGCTCGGTACATGACTTGCATACTGAGGGAGAATTTGGAGTCTAGGGCCAAAGAAAATAACGAAGCGCTGATACTCTCTTCCGCATTGATGGAAAAGCCAATGGGAGGCTCCCGGACGTACGCCGAGGTGCTCTTCGACCTGCATACCACGGCCGACAAAGTGCGCTGGTTCAAGAGGTTTGTGGCCCATGAATCCTGCTAGTTGGCACGGCAGGAGCTAATCGGCGGCGAGCAGTTATGTCCAACATCTCTTGTCTCTTGCCTTGGATCCTCTGGTGCGACACCGAGTTGGACTCGAGTTTCATGGCCAAAACTCCATTGTCCGCATCTGCAAAAGGACAAGAGCCATCAAGGGATTTGCTATACGCGACCTGGCAGGCGTCAAACTTCACGGAGCGAGTCTCGTAGCCCAAGGATTCGATGTGACGGGTCTTGAGGCCTCGAGCACGGATGACAGCCACCAGGTATGGGACAGAGTGCACCACGCCCTTATTCAGAACAACATTGGATACATGATGTATGCGTTGGAGTTGGAGAGAGACCACGATGGATGGGGCATCGTGCGGTCCGCGCTGGCTGATACCCTTGACGTCGAAAATAATGCTCTGGGAAGGCAGATTTACCAGTATTTCTTGAGGGATACCATGTTGTTCAAGTCGTTCATCACAATGAGACTGATTTCGTCGCTAGACGGTGTAAGTCGTCTCCCAGCGTCAACATGCACCACCTCGGGTCAACTAACAAGATGAGATAGCGCTTCAAGCTTGTGGACACAGAGGTGCCGAATATCCTCTGCAAAACGAGCCCGTGGCTGCTTCAAATATGTCTAGCCGGAAGCAACAGTATGGAGAGACTTGCTCCTCCCGAGAAAGTAGACGCACAAGTTTGAGCGGCAGATCGGGACTTGATGCAGCAGAATCTCCTGAAGAGCACAAGCCAATATGGACAGCTCCCTGGAGCCTCACGGCGACTCAATCCATACCCAGCTGTTCTACCAGTCCAGTTTGTCCAGAATGTCGAACGCTTTCACGAAGCGCTAGCCGCGGCCCTTGACAACGTTGTTGAACGGTGGTGGAAAGACGTGGATGCCAACTTGCCGGGACGCATGCCGCTTGAGCCCCGAGTGGAAAAGCTGCTCAGGTGGATTGACGAGGGCTCCGACAAAGGCTTCGTCCGAGGCTACAAGGGCCACCAGGGTAACTTGAGACCAGACATGCTGATACTCGCCGCGGAAGAGCACGCCGTCCCCCAGTTTCGCGTCTGCGAGATCAACGGCCGGTTCCCCATCAACTTCCTTCATTTCGCGGCGAGTGCCTACGGAGCCTTGGCCGGCTTGCCGTGGAGCATTCCGCTGCTCAAGCCAGCAACGGATTACACGAAGCTCCGTGACAGCCTGTTTCAGCTGTTTGACCCGTCGGTTCCTATTCACTTTGTCGGACAGACGTCCGACTTTCCAAAAGACAGTCCTCTATTTGGCCTCGTAGAGCATCGAACTGGCATGAGACCAAGATTGGTAAAGCCGTCGAGTCTCGTGTTGATCCCCAGCGGTTCTGAACCGACGGGATTTTCCCTCTACTGCGTCTGGGGCGCCGACCCGGCCGTGACCAAGCGGCCCTTGAAGCTGATTACCGTGGAGGGACGGGTCCTGGAAGAGGTGCACCAGGTAGGATGCCAACTGTACGATTTTGAACTCTTCGCCTTGGATCCGGACATGGTGCGACACATTGCCATGCGGAGCGTCAACGACATGCGGAGCGTCTTCATCGCCCACGACAAGCGGATCCTCGGCATCCTGCGGCAGGAGCTGGACGCGCTTGTGCACAAACACGGCGTTCTTACTCTGGCGCAGGCGCGGATCCTCGAGCAGGGCATCGTGCCGACCATACTGCCGGGCTGTGAGCGCCTGCGCCAGCTTCTCGATGCCAGCTACGCGGATCCCGGAATCAAGGATGGGTACATTCTTAAGCCGTTCCGTCTGGCGAGAGGATCTGGGATTCTGCTGGGCAGGGACATGTCCGTCTCCGAGTGGTGCCGCATTCTCGAATCCATGAAGACGGCCGACTTGCGCTCTTGTACGGCGCAGTACGTGCTGCAGCCGTTGCAGAAGGTGCGGTCTGTCAACTGGTTCTGGGACGAGGAGCGCATGGTCTGCAGGAGTAAAATGGTGGGAGCGTATTATTCTGTTCATGGGCGGTTTGTTGGGCTTGGGAGCTGGAGGACCGCGACTGCGTCTGAGAATGTTATTTCTGCGTCGAGTAAGGATGTGACAAGTGTGCTTTCGGCTGTTTACTTGAACAGTTAGTATATAGTATTTCTAGGTTTGTTTTATATAAACTATATAGAATAGGGATTATGAGGCTGGGGGTAGCTTGCTGTTATGGTACTTGTAAGCTATTATTTTCTTTTTTTTTTGCGTGAGATGCTTTAATATATATAAAGATATGTTAATATATCTAGTAACATAGAACAACCAAGTTAAATATCTGCTAGAAAACATAATACATGTTCTTGCTTAACTCTCATCCTACCAGCACCTTGACTCTATACAGATCTGTAATAATATATTGTCCGAGCACAGTCTTGGGTACGGGCACCAGGCCGACCTCGGTTATAGGTCTGGTATTAAAAAGCGGATTATAGACAAAGAGTGACATTGTAGGACCACAATGACATCGCCGTTCCTGCCTAATATCGCCAAAGTAGTGTTTTCTCCAGACAATGGGCGGACATGGCCAAGATCGAGAGCGAGTGTGCCGTCTTTCAGATACGAAACAAGGTGTTTGTTACTCTGGTGGGCAAGGACTATGGGCAAAGACCGTATCGGCTCGCTCGTTTATTTAGGGATTTAGGGAACAAAAGAGAGTAATGCTAGGGGATGAGTCTCAGGACGAGGCATTGTTAAGCGCTAGACCCATTGGCGCACTGGGCAGCAGAGATTCAGCGCTTATCCGTTTGACCACGGACGCGCACATCCTATTAATAGATCATGGAGGGTCTGAAACGGAGTCTGGTCCCTTACAAAAACCCAGCGCTTGGCTGCCTTCTTAGGTCCCCTCCAGCGCTCATATACCCGGCACTGCCCACCCGTCGCATCAGTGGCCGTCTTACCAACTAATGTAGTGGACAAAGGCTCTTCTATGGCTGATCCATTTCGTGGAGACGGGCTGTTTACAGCTGTTACCGCCCTCGCAGCGCTTGCCCAAGATCCAGAGCAACTCGATCGCGCAAGAGCGCGGTTCAGCGAATCTCCGCCGTCGTATAGATCGCGCTTGTCACACAACTCAACCCTCTCTCAGAGCCCTGAACCGCCATGCGATGAAGAACAACGCCGCTCCGATCTAAAATGGAAGCTGATACTGGAGCATGGGGCATAGTTTCCCTCCGAACAGCTCCTGGCCCAAGAGCATGAAGAGATGGATCGGCTAATCAAACTAACAGATGACCCTATTCGAAGGCGCCGTATCCGAGTTGGTACGAATTATCACAAACTCGCCAAGGAGAACGTCATGAAACGCTGGGTTGAGCAGGGAATATGGAACGAGGAATGGAAATCAAGGAGCGTGTGGAGGTGGAAGCACGAAGAACCACTCGACCCCGAGTTCGAGTCGAACAAGGATGAAATGGTTGGCATTGAGTCCCGTCTCTTTGGCCCGCCCCCCGAGGAAAGAGAATCGCCGCCGAGACCACCGCAGGGCGTCCAAGATTTGCCAATGACTGAGGAACGTCGGCGCATACGGGAACGCGGACGTGAGGCGTCGCGCCCATACCATCAGTTCGTCTACCAGGTTTCGAAAGAACGCGAGTTGATTCTGGACGAAATGAACCCTCCCGAAGCTGCCGACTTCTCCTACCTCAACCAATGGCCCCCAACCCTACACCAAGCTGCCCTTCATGGAGAAGCAGGGCGCCAACGCACCCCAACCGAGCCTAACCTGGAATATTCCGTCTCGACCCCCCCAGACATCAACACGACAGCCTATGAGAGAGTGAAGAATACCTGGGTAAGAAGAGGAATATGGAACAAGAAATGGGGCATGCTGCCCGGGATGTCGTGGAAGCATGAACAGCCCCTCGAGGAGATGCTACGCGAGGAAATGGGCGATGATCCTGTCCCTCATGAGGGTGGTGCGGTCGAGGACAGGCACGAACCTAGCGAAGCACCTCGTAGGCCATTATTCGGGGCATACCCAGACGAACAAGTCGCATCGTTTTCATCTCCACTCTTCGACGATAGCACTCATCAACCGGTGAGGGAGGATGCGGCACCGAATCGAATCGCATCTCCATTACCAGTTGCGGCAAATGGTGACCACGTTTTGGGTCAACCGGACGGGCCTCTCCAAGAGGCGTGTCCGGGCGGCGATCCTGCGGTATTACCAAACGGCGAGACCAGCCAGTCTTCTGCTGCATCAAGTTCAGACCGCGACCGTATAAACAATAGAGAGGCCGGACGCTCCATCTTGCTGTCGGGGGGGCGACGAGGCGAGAGAGAGGGGTCCATCGGGGGTGGGCTTGCTCCAGAAATACCACGTACCGCTCTTGGTCCAACTCGTCCATCCAAGGTTTCCAAGGCTCACAGACGGAACATGACTTCTACCAGACGACGACCAGATGGCTCTGAAGAGAATGGGGTACAAACACCGATTCCTGTACCAGATACCGCTTCCTCTCCTCTCGTGGATTCTTCTGTACAGCCTCGAAGGAGTAGACGCTTGCAGGAGGCTAAGCGCAAAACGGATGAAGACTCCTCCGCCGGAGGAAGTAGTACTAGCAGTCCAAAGTCTGCGAAGCCCCGTGGTGTAGTTAAGAGACGTTCACGAACAAATCGGCAGAGGACGGGTTAGAATGTCCTGGGGAATATTACAAGTGGCTTGTCCGCGTCCTCGGAGGTCCAGTGTTGATGATCTGGAACGGACTCCCCGCGGTTCAGATGAATGTCACCGAGCTCTGATGGAATAAGTCAAGGACTTGATTGAAGGGTCTGGTGAGCATTGACTTCTGGTGCCCCGAACCTGTCAGTGGCCCTGCCCCACGTGAAAGAGTGTGGCGGCTCCACCTCCAGCGGCTCGGGCCGAGTAGCCGCTCTTAACCCTGCCGTGCTCTTGCGAAGCTACTTACAAATGTACATCATTTAGTCATTCCCAAAGCTTAATGTAATGTATGGGTGCAATTGGAAATGAGGCATGGACATGACTGGACTGTTGTATGTAACATAGGTAGATAGTGGCCCTAGCGGGGATAAGTGTCTATAACAGGACATCTAGAGCACTGACGACACTCACAATCCTGCGTCCCACGCCTCAGCATCCTTTGGGAGGCGTGTCCAAGCACAACTTCAGATATCATCAGCGCTGCGTTCTTGGGCGGTGTCGGGGGCTTCAAAAGGGCCAAATCTACGGGTGACATGATCCCTGCCGTTTTGAAACCTGCCAGTGCCCCACCATGCGATTTCTGAGAGACCAGACTCGACAACGAGATTGGCACAGGCCGCCTCCAGCTTTTGCACCAGCAATATCTTCACCGTCGACGCAATCTTGCGTCTCGAGGAGTCAGATATTGTCTACGGCCGCGGTTTCCGCGACCTGCGTTATGAAGACAAGCAGTAAGCTTGATGGCCATCCGTCATCGCCCCGACCAACAGTCGCACGCGACGCCGTGGAAGCTGTGGTTGTGGCCGTGGCGCCGCCTGCATTAATATGACTGCTGCTATTATTCGATTCTCTAGCGTCGACCGCCCTCGGCGTGTCGTATCACTTCAGTATATCTGGCTAACTAATATCCTGGCATGGCATTTGATGAGTTGGGACAGGAGAGCAGTGCATCTGTCCGCACAGCCTTGACCGGCTGTCATTTAGATAGGATGCGTACTATGTTATTCGACATCACGATACAATCTAAATCCCTAGAGCACAGGAATGAGAGAACAGTTGGCACATTTCAATTCACCACACGCAGCCCGAATACAGAAATAATAATTTACAGGTTCTATAACCAACATGGTAGCCTACTTTTGACGTGTAAGCCCGCGCGACAGGCTGTGGACAGAACCTGTAAACCTTCATGCCTTTTGTTGCCACCCTTCAAGATTGACCGTGGCAGGGGTTTTCCCCGTCCTCATCACCACCCACGTCACCTCTTCATCGCTGTCGTTTACTTCCTGGTGTTCTGTACGCGCCGGAATGAACGCAAAGTCGCCCGGTGCCAAATCCTGCCGTTTCGACCCTCCCTCGAGGACAAGGGACCCGTGACCGCTGGAAGCGAAAATGATGGTGTCCTGATCTGAACGGAAGCATCTTTTAGCACGTGTCACTAGAGAGACTTGCAAAGACAAGTGCACGGGGAACAGATACGAACCTCCATGGTGGTGGATTACGGAAGATGTGTGCGGCTTGGCCGTCATAACTTTAAAGGTCTGCATTAGCATTCTTGTCATAGGATTGATGAATACGAAGGTCTCTGGCCTGATCTGCGAACAACGATGGAAACTGATCGCAGAGGGGCGGAATTTTGACCAACCACGAGGTCTACTTACCCAGGGAACATATCCTGTCGGATTTTCCAATGATTGCTCCTTTCCTAATCATTCCCTCTGTTTGGCCGATGCCGGCGTCTAGTTCGCTAGCTCGCGTGATGTGCACGTGTGTTGACATGGTGAGAATGAAGTGATGCTAGAATCCTAAAGTCGAGTTTTTTGCTGGTGGCTGTACGGTAGATAATAGTTGGATTTTTTTTAGAATGAGACAAATGCTGATTTTTATGTTTTTTTCGCTTGTGGCGCGATATCGCTAGAGCACGTTACATTTGGCAACACGTTGAGATGGCGCCCGGATATTGCGCATGTCCGGCTTTAAGCTTTTGGCTAATTCCCCGTAGCACCAGCTGCGTCCGTTTTTGGAAATAGCATCCATCCAGTAAGAACATTGAAGGCTTGTATTAGATTTCCACCGTGACGCAGTCACATGAAACAAATGGCAAGAACGTACATGTAACTCTGTAACTCCATGAGGAAGTAGGGAAGTGCCAAAGGCTACTAGTCAATTCGTTGGTGACATGGTCGTGGCTGAATTCCGTTGCTACCACGATGACGCAGGAAGCCAATAATGAATCAATGAGATCGCTGCCCCGGGGCCCATAGTTTATTACATCATAGATGAATCAAAGTATGGAGTCGCATTGGTGTAGCTAGCAAAAGACCTGGGTTCGCTGCTTGCTCGGAAACTCGGGATGATGGCACCCTAAACCCATCTGGGTCACTGATAATGTGACAGCAATGCCTTGTTAGGTTGAACAGCTACTCTGTAGACTGCGCATCTGGGACCCTCGGTGGTCCGGAATGTCCGGGAATACGGCAAACCTAATTCTTCCCCTTGCTGGATATAGACAGGCTCGTCCCACTATGGAGGGTCACATTGAGATTCTGGTAAACGATGCGTTAACCAGCTACACTAATTTTGGTAGGTGGCTAGGGAAATCTTCGATCTGCAACGCCCCATTGTCCATTGGAGCTTACGCACTGCCAGCAGCATAAGGGTACGCGTCTGGTGGATATGATCGCCAGCGCAGGCAGCAGTACAAAGCGGTAGATTCATCCGTTGAGCTAGGTTATAATGACGAAGCGGATGGATACCGAAAATATAAATCACGAGAATCTTTCTTGGTAGTTTTATGCAAAATTGAAAAGAAAACGAGGCTTGAGGCTGCCAGATATCCGACTTGCGACCGTACTTGGCATTCGTCGTCTCCTTTCTGTGACATAACCGCTGCAGTGCACCATCATAGTACCTTTCCGCTTGTTTACTCAAATACTATTAGGATGAAGGCATCATTGCCATTAGTGTTCTCTCTTATAACTCGGCTGGCCTTTGCCAACTCGCCGATAACATTCCAAAATACGTCCAACACTATTCTCCGAGTCGACACTGGTTCTTACGGCCCTGCCATTGAAGAGGCCCATTACTTTTACCAAGATTGGCCCGTGGGGTTTGCAGTGTCTAGCAAGGGACGAATATTCGTGTCATACTACCCGGGCAACGTCTCCTTCACTTTGGGCGAGGTGGTGAACTCTACCGCCGAGAAGGCCTACCTCCCGCAGTACAATGTTCCCTCTGCGAACTCTACACAGACAATCGACGGGACGTTGTTTGGTTCACAGAATTCGACTGGATTCATCAGCGTGCAAGCACTCTATGTGACGCCGAAAACGGCCAACCGATCAGAGACACTGTGGGTGTTGGATACAGGTCGTCCAAATGATGCGTCGCAAATGGCCTACGGTCTACCAGGTATGCATCTCGCATCATAGGAGAATCTCTCCAAGCGATAGAACACTGACTATTTCGTCATCAAGGGGGGGCGAAGCTTGTGGCAGTTAACCTGGACAATGATACCATCGTTCGGACCTACCTCTTCCCATCAACCGTCAGCTACCCAGACTCCTCTGTCAACGATATGCGATTTGACTTCCGGGAGAATATCACCACCTCTGGTCAAGGCGTCGCATACCTCAGCGATGAGTCGCCCGAGGGACGCAACGGCATTATTGTTCTCGATCTGGGAACGGGCAAATCCTGGCGCCATTTGGACCGACACCCAGCTGGATTGTCTGGATATGGCGTTGTCCCCAGCTATCAGGGCATGCCATTCTATCAAGAAACCCCTTCCGGACCTTTCACACATTTGCCGCAAGGACTGGATGGAATTCAGCTCGATCTCACGGGCTCAACCCTTTTCTTTTCATCCATGACATCGGATTATTTGTTTTCCATTGAGACGAAATACCTTCTTGACCATACCTCGCCTGCATGCATCCAAGCTGCCAACAGCGCCGTTCGGAACCTGGGCCAGCGTGGCGGGAATGGAAATGGGTTCGAGGGAGACTCCAACGGCTTCATTTACCAGGCAATGCCGGAGCAGAACGCAGTGTACGCCTACGACCCTACGACGCTGAGGGTTGCCCCTTTTATCCGGGACCCGCGCATCATCTGGCCGGATGGACTGTCGGTCTCGGAAGACGGATACATCTACATCATCATCAATCAGTTGCCATACCAGCCCATGTGGAACAATGGCACCGACCTCAGACAAAAGCCTGGTGCGTTACTAAGGGCCAAGTTGCCCAACAACGGGGCAAAAGTGAAGACGCTGTTTTAAGCACCAGCGGGTCCTTACGAGGTGACGAGGACTCGATTGCTGGGACTGAAGACAACTGGGCTGACGGCATGTTGCTTCGGCCCAGCCACGAATATTCCAAGGCCTCTTTATACTCGTATGCCTTTTTTCTATCCATTATGCAGACATCAGATCGCCCTTTTATACGACATGTCTCATATTGTCTTTAGTTCCACCCCTCCATCACACAGAGCAAGCATAGACCTGGCACTGGCGATTATAAACTCCAAGTGCCGTTATAGTATAGAACTACGCCGAGGCTTCCACATTAGACAAGAAGAAATAATAAAAAAGTCAACCCAGCCCCTTATCCGTCTCGTCTATGGCAGTAGTGATCTTGCGGATTATCTTGAACAGGGCTCCCTGCGACAACATGGAATGGAGTAATGTCGCTTGTCACAACGCTGCCGGCTCCGACGGTGCAAGTCTTGAACCAACCCGCGGGTCATGCGTTACCTGGGTTAGGGTTAGGGCCGAGCCTAGGTGGGCTAGGGTGGATGGCCGCGGCGCGGGTGTTGGGGTCGATGTCTGGGGAGCCCAGTGCCGCTTGGAAACTAAATCGCCGGCGGGACCCAATCCCCGCGATCCCGCCCAGAGTTGGGTCTTGTTCCAGCCGCAATTGATGTGTCAACATTTGAAGTCTCTCTACATGCATGCGAGGACAGCAAACTTGGCGCTGGGGAGCTTCCAGGGATGGGTGGGCAGTGATCAATTGATCGATTGATGGTTGATAGCAGACTTGACTCTACTCGTCTGAGCAGTGTAGGCCATCTGCCAGTAGCAACATTATACGCACAATGAAGCCCTGCTCCTTCCATCGCTGGCAGAATGTCATCTGGTTTCTACAAATAACAACTACATATGTACTCTATCTCTAATAACTTGTACTTTTATTTTTATTTTCTCATCAACATCTTTTAATAAGCAACCTCATAACAGGCTACCGTCTTTACATGCACCATGAGTGTAAAACACTCCCTAGACTCGCTTTCCGCGGATGAATTGTACTGGCCAGCGCGGCTATTAGACGCGCGCGTAAAAGGGGATTGTTTTGTCGAAACATCTTCAACCTCGAAGCCCCCGAGGCCCTGCTCATCCCTCATCTCGACGCAGAGCATGCCGGCACTCTCTGTGCAGACACCCCCCGACCCCCTCGCCGTGCTCGTGCTCAATACGACGTGATTGAGCATGATGGGAGCCGATCTTACATGGAATCCACCATGGACCTGGTTACAGGCGAAGAGGTCGACAAGCGGTGCCTCCACCCAAAACAACGAGCCTCATTCACCGTCGACGAGTTCCAAGAGTTTATTGACAATGATCTCACCAGCCCGATATTCCAGCGCGTCGTGGCGGAGATGGAACCTCCCCCCTGGCTAGGAGGTAGCCATTGACCCCTGGCCATATGGGGGCTCGGACTTTGGGGACGACTACACCGCTCGCCTCACGCAGCTCTTTTATTTTATTCGAGACATGACCAAGGGCAATGATGACGTGAATCATTCCTCCTTCCCACTCCCCATTTGTCCCGTTATGGGTACAGCCACCGAGTCACTTGTTCGTGTCGAACGGCTACAGCCAGAAGGCCCCTCCTTCACCATGACGGACAATAGCCTGTTGGAGTGGCAGAAGTGGCGGCTGCGCATCTCCCTTACGCCTCGGGAATGCGTAGTGCTCCATGATATCCGCTTTGACTACCGCAGCGTTGTGCATCGATTGTCTTTTAGCGAGCTGACGGTGCCTTACTGTGATCCCCGGCCCCTTACCACTGTAAACAGGCCTTCGACTACGGCGACGCTGGAGCCGGCCGCACCGCAAATAACCTTGGACTGAACTGCGACTGTCTGGGTGCAATCAAGTATATGGATGCCAACCTCGTCACGCCAAGCGGAAAGCTCCGTCTTGCGAGAAATATCTGCTGTATTCACGAGCTCGACGATGGGATCCCATGGAAATATACTAATATTGAACTTAATGACGGACCGTGCTGTGGTTGTGCGTAACCGCAAGCTGGTCATCTAATACACCATCACGCTGGGCAACTATGAATACATCTTTTCCTACTACCCGGACCTGGCAGGAGGCATATATCTCGAGGTGCGCCCCACGGGAATCATGTCGCCCGAAGGCATCGATCCGGGCAAGACGTCGCCGTACGGCACCGTCGTGGGGCCGGGTGTTTTAGCTCAGAGCCATCAACACATCTTTGCCGTGCGCATCGATCCAGCCATTGATGGGTATGCCAACACGGTAACCGTGGAGGATTCCATATCCATGCCGATGGAGCCAACGAGGAATCCATATGGCAACGGCTACGAGGTGCAGTCCACAACCATTACCAAGTCCACGCATATTGACGCCTCGCCGTTGACCAACCGCGTGGTCAAGATATCCAACCCTTCCAATATCAACCCCGTCTCTGGCCGCCCGGTGTCGTACAAATTTGCCCCGGCGCCCACGCAACTGCTCATGGCGGATGCAGCGTCCGACATTGGCCACCATGCCAAGTATGCCAGACACCATGTCTGGGTGACGCGGCACGCCGACTACGAGTTCTGGGCTGGCAGCGAGTTCACCAACATGTCACGCGATGAAGAAGGGGGCTGCTACGACACGGCGGCCCGCAATGACGATATTGAGAACACTGATGTGGTTGTCTGGGCCGTTTTTAGCTTTGCGCATTCCCCTCGAGTGGAGGATTGGCTGGTGATGCCCGTGGAGCGTCACGAGTTACATTTGCGGCCGGTTGACTTTTTCGACGGCAACCCGGCCTTGGATGTGGCCAGCCATCGCAATACAAATAGTGTCTGTCCTTGTGGACGGCGAGTGCTGCGCGAATGGTGATTGAAATGAATTGTCGCGCAAGGTGGTAGTGACCAGTAGATGCTGGGAAATCTTCAGACACTTATGCGTCACAATACGACGAAAATAAAATAAAATAAAGGATTCACACGTCTAATTGGATTACACCCCGAGGACGGAATAAGAATGTTCAAATTTGTAGGCAGCCGCAGGTAGGGCCTGTTGTACTGCCTTCTCATCACCAGTCAAGGATGGTATGAAGAATCCCAAGTCAGAGTTGTGCCTGATTCCTAACCATTTGAGAGACGACTATAGTTCATCATATCTATACTCATTCTGAGGCAGCCTATGCAGGCCCGATGGTTGGTGCCTGTCGCGACACTGGCAACACCGGTACCCATGATGATACTATCGTGACACTGACGGAAGATGACGTATCTCAAAAACAAGCCTGGTGTTGTCAGCCTCGTAGGCTTGCAATGAAGTTGCCTAGCAAACTGGCGGCTTCTGTCAACAGCTCCCATCGCGTCTTGACAAACCCGTCGCGCAGAATCATCAACAGCCCCAGACACCGATTGCGCCGTTGCATCCCTTGTAGACATGAGGAGATCGCACGCCGCGCACGCGCCTTAGCAACTCGGGCATATGGCGGCGTTGCTTAGCCGCCGTCATCAGAGCAGGCGGCAATAGGATCGGGCCATCCACCGCAAACCCATAGCACCACACGACCAACGCCGCCATGTACATGACCTACGGGCGGTTGAGGTTGTAGTTGTCCCGTCCCGATTAGGCGTCCTCGTCCTTGGAAGGTCCGTGTAGTAAACACTCAAACAGGAACTTCAAGGCGTAAAAGGCGGCTTCGCGGGCCGAGGCCTCGACGGCCCATCGCTTGACCGTCTTTTCAAGAGCGGCGCTATTCTCTCGCGACTTTCCCGCGCGCTGGACGGCGTCAGCGAAGCTCTGCCATTCGATAATATCTATATGCGATGCGATGTGGGCGAGGCCGTGTAACATGCCGCGCGTTTCGGTCAAGTAGTCGTCGCTGGGCGGCCGCCGGGCCTAATATTCGCAGCCAAAGGCCGGCGATCCGTTCTGTCCGAGGGCATCGTCAAAGTCCCGCCGCCAGTGATCAAAGGCCCGGAGCAATACTGGCCGCCGATTATCTCAGCCGCCTGACGACGGTGCAATGTCGAGGGAGCACGTCTGCCGCCCGCGCTGCTTCATATACCACAGGACGCTGAGCAAGCCTGTCATGATAATGGACCTCCCGAAGGCGTCGATCTGCATTCGCCGTCCGTCAAGAGTTTCTTTGAGCCCGTCTAGAAACATAATGGGCTTCGCGCCACTCGCTCGCAGGCTGGACTGCACCCGTACCACGTCGGCCGCACTGGTCGCCGACCATAATGCCTCATCGCAGGACAGCGGCAGCCGAAGCTCGTGCGCCGTCATCTTGGCAGGCTGTCCAAACATGGGGGCGTGTGTCGAGTCCAGCACAAGGGCTGCAAAGACGACCCTCCGCGTGGCTTCGCCCCTGATCCAGTGTGTCCAGGATTCGTCCAGCGCAGAGTCGGGCGTCGTGATCGAGCCCAGCTGGTCGTCTGCCGAGCAGTCCGCGGAGCGCCTGATGAACCAGTCGCCGCGTCGCATCAGGGCCAGTGTGGTGCCGTGGTGGATGTGCGCCCGCTCGTGGAGGAAGCGCGTGGAATACATCTTCTCGTGGACCTCTATGAGCAGCAGGGCCTGGTATACCCAGAGTTTGGTCGGGGCCTGAAACTCGGCGTCCAGAATATCTCCCATCGGAGATGCCAGACGATGAAATTGGCCAACTCGGAGACTGTCTCGATTACTTCTGGGCCGTGGATACGATCCAGTGTCGACGCGCCGATGGCGATTATAGCCAGGAGAAGGAGATTGGGCACGTGGTCGGCGACAAAGGCCGAGCGATGCAGGATGGGCAACTGCGGGTGGAAGTGGTACCAGTATGATTCGATACATGTTCGCGTCATGTGCAGGCTTAGGATGTGATTATCGTTACTCACATCGCCCTCCAGGAACGACTTCTTGCGAGTGGTCGCTGTCGAGCACGCAGCCTTGTTGAATCGCGTCGCCATAAGGTGCAGGAGCTCCTGGAGCTTATCGTCCGACATGACGGTACGCGGCGACCCGGGATCCAACGTCCTCGCAACACTCATGGGCCGGTGTGAGATGCCTCCGCCTAGTGACATCTCATAGGTCCGGGTTTGTAGCTGAGAAGTATCCAGGTAGCTGGGGATTACGCCTGTCCATGACGGGTATGCGACTGACGACGAGGGTACAGATGATTCGTTGAACAACCACGCTGTGAAATCATCCTCCATGGCAAAGGGAGGCCGGCTGTATGTCTTTCCACCAAGTGTCGGATAGCTAGACTGGGGAGGGAATCAAATCCGGGGTTTACAGCTGTCAAGACGGGGGCGGTTGAACTCAACATGGAATCCAGTACATTGAGTCCCGTGTCTTGAGCTATTGATGCCGATTCTGACGAGGTTACCGGCGCGAGGGATATCCGAGTACCCATTGACCGAGATTGGAAAGCCCTGATGTGCTGTGGGTGAACCCCTGAGCTCAGTAGGGATTGAAAAGACGGCGCGCAGGTCCTGCGATTGACTGGCGAATACTTGAATTGCTTTGGAAGATCGAAGCTCGTCGCCGTGGCCGGACTGATATGAGGCGACGGCCGTGGACGCCGGGCGCTGCTCTTGAACGGGAATATGCGAGGCATCCTGCCCATCGGGGAGGTTACACGTCTGATTGGGAGAGAGCTTGCGTCCTGAAAGCCAAACACCCGATTCACCCCGACCAACGGGGACGATGGTAATAAACTGGCGCTGTGTTGATTTGCCTGGTTTCTCGCCTGGGACACCAGCGACCCTGCCGTCGATGACCGACGCCATCGGGGGTTGGTATTGGACGAGGGGATCGACGCAGGTTGAGGGAGTGACGGACTGGTGTCTCTGGACGATATCTGGGCAAAGTAATTACCGTCTTGCAGTCTGGCGTTTCGCCTCTTGTGTCGTTGCCGGTGCCGGGCGAACAGCTCTTGCCGCACAAATACTCTGTAGCAGCCGAGGAAGTCGCACGGATAGAACTTCTTTGGGGCATCTATTGGGAGCCGTCGAATGCGCAAGGTTGAGTGCTCAGCGTCAAGATTGTTTCGAGGAGATGGTGAATATACAGTTTAGTTGATGGCGATACAGATGTCCCGCGCGAGAATAGCTCTTCTCGCAGCCCTCAACGTTGCATTGGAATACGCGATCGAACTGGGCTTTGCCCACGGTGTTTTGCGTTTGTGAAGCCGTCTCATTGCCCGCTGGTTGGCCAATCTCGCTGTCCGAGAAGGCCACCGTTTCATCCGGGTCCCGTTTCATCCGGGTCCCGTTTCACCCGGGTCCCGTTTCATCCGGGTCCATGCCGCCGATGGCGCTGTCGAGCGATGTCATGGCGAGGGACCGGATCAAGAGGAGAAAGTCTTGGAAATACTGTAAACTGTGCCTTGGGTTGTAAAAAGGAAATGAGGAGGAAGCAAGTTCTAATGGGGCGGCCCTGGCGTCTCGTCTCGGCCGGATCTCCTCTGCAACAGCTTCTCGGACAGGGCATCTTGTGGGCAACAAGACTGCATCTATTCAGAGATGGATAGTGTATCACATATGTCTTCTCAGCAGCATGTAGTCGATGCGAGGTTTGGTGTTCGTGTTGGATTACATATTGACCGACTGACTTGAAGAGATGGGACATTTTGGTTGCGATGGAATCAAGCGCGTGACAATATCGGCATACATGAGATTATAATCACCATTCGATGGTGAGATTCAACAGCCATTATCAGAATACACATGCGTTACTCACTTGCACTTGTTTTTATTCACTCTCGGGACTCGGGACAAATGAGCTAATACTCATCTTCTTTCAGAGCCAGAACATGAGCCAACGCTGGCTAGGCCGTCTGGGCCCTGGACCCTCCAGACCTGGCCTGTTATCATGCCAATAGCACAATGCCCTCACAGAGGACCCTCTACTCTCTCTTGACTTATTTAAAAAGCCGGCATCACGGAGCTCCACATGGCTGTGAAACTGGTCGGGAATTCGTGCCGAAGTGGGTCCATGCTGCGGCCCCGGGATGGACTTGAACTACTCCGTACTCCATGTCCGTACATATTATTGATATTAAGTGGATACATGTAGCTGTCAATATTGAAGGGTATGCTGTGGCACCACCCATCATGGGCGGCATGAGGCACTAATAAAGGAGAGCTGAACCCCTCCAGACCGAGAGTTCAAAGTTCTCCCTGGGTTACACGTTGGGGCTGCACCAACGTTCTACCTGCAAGAGTCTGGTGCAGCCGCAGTGACGGAACCAAGCCTACGGGCCGTCGACTCCAGACAGGCTCCCTGATCTGCCGAGTGGTTGGACACAGATGACGGTTCACTCTCGATCTCTGCGAACGTATGAGCCTCCGAGATCACGTAGTGGAGTCCATATCAACCGCCGGAAACGGCCCAATTTGTGTTTTTCACAACAAAGTCACTCCATGGCACTGCCACGTTGCCCGCTCTGGATGTTTTCCCGTGTCTCACACCAACGTGACACGACCGTTGTCTAAGATTGGGCAAATGATGGCTGCGGCAATAGGCGTTGGACGACTCTTGATTAATGACGAAATACGGAGTACATGCTGCAAATTCCTGACGTGTAGCCAAGCAAGTTGGAGTAGGTTCCGTAGCTAGGTCAGAGTTAGGAAACTGCCCTCACCACCAAGATAATCAAAGTCTTTGGCATCTGCAAGCCTGCCGCAGTCGTCTGTTCGCGGGACTGGCAGGCTTCACAGCCATCAGGGCGGGCACAGGATACAAAGTGAGACAAGCAGAACTGGCAAGATGCGCCTATCCGCTTGAGTGGTGACCGAGCTATATGTCTCTTTTTAGAACAGGAAATTTGTAGGAACACCTGGCCATCATAATTATGGTCATGGTGAAAAACTAAAAGCCACAAGCGAGCCAGAGCTGCTGATTGTCGCAACGCCAAAGTGAATACCTACACAGTTCACAGGCAGAGACACAAAATCAACCTCGGCTCCTTCTTTTCTTCTGGTCTTGTGACAAGGGTCTAGTGTTAGGGGCTTGGAACAACTTTTCGTATTGAGCTAATACTTCGCTTTGATATCAAAGGTCCTTGGTTTTCCTTGAAGCCCTGAGGGCGGAAGACCTTTATTAATATTAAGAAGCGGTGAGGGACTTTGCCCTAGGTCTTGTGATCAGAGCCCTTGTGTAACTATCGTCGGGATTAACATTTGAAGGTTCGGCCCGTGCCTTCACGGCAACGTGTCATCCGTGTAACAGGTCTCCTCAGCCATCTTATTCAATGCCGCAAGAGAACTACCGTTAGTACATATATATTTGAATTACTCAATACCATGCAGGGAAAATGGTAGCACAGCTCAGGTAACCCTCGCCAGCTCGCTATTAATGGCAATGCAGCACCCAGTAATAATTGACTGACTATCAAGACAAGCATTGATCAGCGGGGAAAAGCACAGGAATACACCTGGCTGGAACAGGAGACAGTAGGAACTGCCGCCGTAATGAAGGCTGCCCATTTCCTGGCCCTTTGATACACGGTCTCTCACCTTGACCGTGGCTACACAACTCGACACATCCAAGATACCAATAGCTATGAATCCCACCAGGCTTAGCCAGGCATCTCCGGCGCTGAGCACAGATATTGTCCACGTGGCAATGGAGATGATCAACTTTTGGGATGCATTGGGAACTTGTCGATCCGGACATGGCCGATTCACAGAATCGACCGTTTCGGACCCGTTTGCAGGATCGGCAACGAAGTACGTTCTTGGAATCTGCAAGACTTGAATGGCTGTGCCGGCAACAAGCGCATGGCATCCATGATAATTGAAAAGAGACAACCATCCCTGGAGCACGGCACCGCCCGCAAAACCTGACGCTATGGTATCGTTACCAAGCATGTCCCGGGAGGAATACGTGAGGGACTTTGCCCTAGGTCTCGTGACCGAAGCCCTTGTGTAACATTGAACCTTTGACATTCGGCCATTTCCGCGTAACACGTGACGAGAGCTGTTGATGTAGTATTGCAGTCGTAACCATGATCTTGGAGAAAGGTTTACTGTCAACGGTTTTACCGTCCCTCCCCGTACACAGAAACTTTGTTTCACAGCAGGCTTTTGCTCGATACGTCGTTGTCAATCTCCTCTTATCAAAATGGCCTGGAGCAACGAGCCCAAAGACGGCCAAAATGACTCGTCTACTCATGCTCCCTCGCATCCTAATGGCAGCTCCAAATTGGAATCCGCGCAGTGCGCTATTTACGCTGTCACGGCCGGCGAATCTGCCAGCGACGTGATGGACATGGACCGAGTCCGACCTCACTTTCCTGTCCTCAGTGGGAAGACTGTGCCGTTCAACAACGCAGCAGGTACCGTTGTGCTCAAGGAGGCCATAGAGGCGTATGTACAGTTAGTTTTCCATGATGGAAGTGAATACTGAACGAGATGGCCAGGGCGAGCGACCTCATGAATGGAATGCCGATTGACCACGGGCTCGGAGATCCACGAAGCACCGCCGCCCGGGCTGAGTATTCGAACAATTGGCACCAGTGCGCAGCCTTTGTCAATGCCCAGCCGTCCGAGATTGGTACGTATAACGCCTCGCCCGGTCTTGTGTAGCCCTCTGTATACTCGAGCACTTACTCGCGAGGCCGGTTCCATCAGCCTTTGGACAGTCCACCACCGCTTTGCTACGGCTCTTGGGCCAGTCGCTGCGGCCGCATCTCGGCTCGGATGCAGAGATCATCTGCTCTACGCTGTGCCATGAAGCCTCTGCAAGTGCCTGGATCCATCTTGCCCGAAGCCTAGGCACCACCATCAAATGGTGGACGCCGTCACAAGAGGGGGAAGACGACCCCTGCCTCACCGTCGACTCACTCAGGCCTCTGTTGACTCCCAAGACACGCATCGTCACTTGCAATCACGTTTCCAACGTGGTGGGGACGATACATCCTATCCGAGAGCTGGCCCGCCTCGTCCATACCATCCCTGGCTGCGTCATCGCCGTGGACGGCGTTGCCTGGATCCCCCATCGGCCCGTTGATGTCAAATTGCTCGACGTCGATTTCTACTGTTTTAGCTGGTACAAGGTATTCGGCCCGCACATGGCGCAGCTATACGCGCACCGTCGCGCGCAGGATCGTTACATGACGAGCATCAACCATTTCTGGCGCGACCACGCCACGCTTGACGGCAAACTCCACTTGGGGGCGGCTTGCTACGAGCTGGAAGCAATGTGTGGCCCAATCGCCAAGTATCTGGGGGATCTTGGATGGGACGCCATCATCCAGCACGAGACGGTCTTGACCAAAGTCATGCTGGACTATCTCCTCAGCCGACCCACGGTATATCGCGTGTTTGGGAAGCGTACGGCAGATCCGAGTCACCGAGTGTCGATTGTGGTATTCGAGGTGCTTGGGCGGCAGTCCAGTGACATTGTCATGCAGGTTCATGTCCGCGACCGGTTCCGGATCACCTGGGGCGATTGCTGGGCGCCACGGCCGACATTTGACGTTCTGAGGCCGCACAGCGACGGCATCATCCGCGTCAGCTTCGTTCACTATAATACCGTGGCCGAGGTCCAGGGGTTGTGCGCTGAGCTAGAGGATATAACGTCCACTAAAGGTGCGCATGTTGCAGAAAGGGGGGACTCGCCATCCAAGGACATTGTCGAATTGGCTGAATTATAATGCCTAGTGTATACGAAGCCATGAGGACATGATACCAGACGAGTTTGCGTGGACTGGTCATGTAACAAGCGCACGTTCAATCATACTATATTTGGGAGTGTGAAAAGAATAGCCACCTGCGTCTCGCCA